GAGAGAGAAAGGGGAAGAGTTTAACAGTCACATAAAAGATAGCAGAAAAAAGAAAGAAAGTAGTCCAGTTAAAGAGAGAGAGGAGAGAGAGAGAGAGTGAGAGTGTCCTGTTAGAAATAAAGATGCACTTAAAAAATCCATCAGAAAAGGTTATTTTAATGCTGAAAATCCCTCTAATTGATCATCTCGACATCTTGAAACACGTTATCTAGAAGGTCCATTTTCAAGATTTTCGTATGTTTATAGATCTACTTGATTTTAACTATTTTTTGAGTTTAAAATTTTATAATTAGAATCAAAAATAGATTTTCAGATGATCCTAAGAATTTTTTACACCAAAATTGCATGTTATGATAAAATTTGGAGGTGCGCCTTAATTTGATTGTTTAAGTAATATATGGAAAGGTTGTTAGCCCACTAGCTCACAACTATATATGAGCCCAACGACTCAGATTGAATTTGGGCCGATTTGATGGTCACAACCACATTTCATATTTAAATTTTATTTTATTTTATTTTTATGAATCCAAATCACTTGAAATTTTGAGCAAGTATTCTTTAAAATTAGAAGAATCTAATAAAAACCTCAACAAAAATAATTTGTAAAAACTCAAATTGACCAAAATACCTCAAAATATTTTAGGGGTATTTTGATCAATTTATTTTTGTAAATTATTTTTGTAATATTTTAGTAGGTGCGTCTTGATGAGAAGAATGTGCGTCTAAAATTTCAAGTGATTTGGATTCGTACAAATAAAAAATTAAAAGTAAAATACAATATTACAACCCTTCAAAATGTAAAAGTTAATTCTAGAATGGGTTGTGAATTGTGGATTTACTAACTGCATAATTTTTTTTTTTTTAAAGTTACTTTTTATAATATTTCGCTCATCAAGTAAGAGTATATTTGTAGATACTATTAAAGGACAAGAGGTACTTTTGTTATCTTCACTAGGGGCAATGATGAATTTTTTTACTCAAAGGCAATAATATTTATAAATAATGTCTTAGGATACTAACTGCCAAAACGTCATTATATTTTTTAAAGTTTGCCCTAATTTACTACGTATCCCTGTTTGAGAATGGAGTAAAGCATGGAAACACATAGCCCTCATTGCTTCGTATTTCCATGTTTTCTCACAATTTTGGAGCAAACTGCACAGTGCACCCTTTGCCGATATCTTAGGAAAAGGGGAAATGCGAGAACCGTACCATCCCCTTTTATTTCTCTAACCTGACGATCTCTCTCCCCTCTCAATCTCTCTTTGACCAAGCTCTAGCTTGAGTTTTATCAGATTTTTTCATATACAAGTTTCCAAACAAGGGTTTTCAGCTTCCATCCCTAGTTTTCTACTTATATCATTTTTTCAGGCTTCCAGGTTCTTCAATATTCTCTAGAACTTCTCAGTTACCAAACAGAGCCTTATTTTTATTTATAAATCTATTTAGTTTCCTTGTTTACTTTTTTCCTTGTTTAAAATTCGTGTGGTGCCACTTTATGGTTTTTGTTTTTTTTTGTAGAATTATTTATCTTGGAAATCATACTCACATTGCTCCAAGTGCAAAAAATTACGTAAATGTATAGTATCAATATAGAAAAATTATATATGAAATTTGGATGTATTTCACAATGATTTGTGAGTTTTTACTTTATAAGCCCTATTCTATATAATTTTTTTGGATTTTCCTGAATCCATATTTTCATTATTAGTTTTAGCTTATTTCTATTTCTTGTGTTAATATTTTGTTTTGTTTCAATTTTGAAGTTCATATTTTATTTTTTAGCGTCTTTTTTGAGTTTTTTTTTTAGGCTCCATACATAAGCCCTATTCTATTATTTGTTTTTTGGATTTTTCTGAATCCATATTTTCTCCATTAGTTTTAGGTTATTTCGATTTCTTGTGTTAGTATTTCGTTTGGTCTCAATTTTGAAGTTTGTATTTTATTTTTTAGCTTTTGTTTGTTTTGTCTTCACATTTATCATGTCATATTACAGTCCGAAGACCCAATTCAGAGGAAAGACTTATGTAAATCTAAAGTCAGAACAATTCCAAAACACCAAGTCCACAGCAAAGTGGACTACATATATATCCCACAACCACCGACCTCCTAAGTCAACAAATAACGCTATCAACACTTGGATGGAGGCGCCGAAGAAAAATGACAAAACATTGACCTGTCAAATTTCACACTAGAAACGACTCCCATAAGAACAAGCATGCCTGTCGTATTTTCAAAATTGATGTAATCAAGACAGTTGATGAGATTGACATTTTAGCATCCTCGGTGCCTTTTTTCAATATCATAAATTCATCTTTGAAAAAGGGCGGGGTTGAGATCGTGATGGTAGCACCCCCACACTCTAATCACCTCATTTTTTGATGAAATGAACACGCAAAAGAAAAATGTTCATTTTAGCATCCTCGGTTTCAATATCATAAATTCATCTTTGAAAAAGGGCCGGAGTTGAGATCGTGATGGTAGCACCCCCACAATCTAATCATCTCATTTTTTTATGCAATGAATACGCAAAAGAAAAATGTCAAAACAATGACTTTGACCAATTCCACACTACAAAGGACTTCGATAAGAACGATGATGTCGTATTTCAAAATTGATGCGATCAAGACTTTTAATGAAAATGTCATTTTAGCATCCTCAATGGGCCCCAAGAAAACAAGTACAATTTGATGGATATGGTTAAATTCATGTAGTCCGCCCTTCTTTCTCCAAGAATCTACAAATTTGAAATACAATCATAATAACAAATGCACTTCTTCAAATATTGTGAAGTTTTTCATGCCATGAGAATGGAAGTGGAAGTGAGATCTGCATCCCTTATCTTCATCTTCCCATTGATTTTAGGTCTTTTGATTCAATCCTCTGGTTACTCAAAGGTTGAATTAGAAGATGAAGATGAAGCTGAAGCGTTGCTGAACTGGAAAGCCAGGCTAACACACCACACTTTGGGTTCTTGGCTTCTCGAAACCAACAACTCGACCTGTCATTGCAGCTGGATTGGGATCAAATGCAACGATGGCGGCAGTGTAATTGAGTTGAACATCTCAAATTTCAGTTTGAAAGGTACTCTAAATCAATTGAATTTCTTCGCGTTGCCTAGTTTGACCCATCTCGATCTCAGCTATAACAATCTTGAAGGAAAAATCCCGAGCAGTATCGGCTCACTATCAAACCTCAGTTTCTTGGATTTGGGACAAAATTACTTCACAGGATCAGTGCCTGAGGAGATTGGCAATCTCACCGAGCTTCACTTCGTTTCTCTGCGGCGGAACTTCCTCACGGGCTCCCTACCTTATCAGTTGGGTCTTCTACAAAAGGTACAATACTTGGAACTTGGTAAAAACCACTTGAACTTTGCTGACTCGTCGAGATTTCCAGGCATGGAGTCTCTTGTTCACCTCTCCCTGTATGCCAACTCCTTAAAAGATTTCCCAATGTTTGTTTTCCAAAGCAAAAAATTGGCATACCTGGATTTGTCACAAAATGCATTAACTGGTGCAATCCCAATTCAAATGGTTTCCAGTCTAAAAAACCTACAGTTCCTCAACCTGAGTAAGAATTCATTTCAAGGGCCCATTCCAACTGAACTTCAAAATCTAAAAAGCCTTCTAGAACTTCAACTTCATGAGAACAACCTCACAGGTTCTATTCCTCATGAGATCGGCCTCATTTTAGGCCTCCGAAAACTTTCCCTAGGTGTAAACCCATTACTTGGTGGATCCATCCCTAGATCACTTGGGCAACTTCGGGCTCTTGAAGAACTCAACCTCCGCAAATGTGGATTGAACTCTAGCATCCCAGCACACTTATTTACCTATTGGACTAATCTCACTTTTTTGGACCTCAGTAATAACTTTCTCATAGGATCAATCCCCTCTGAAATCAGCCTTCTCAAAAAGCTTGAGCATTTGGACCTTTATAATAACATGCTTGTTGGTTGGGTCCCCACCTCAATTGGAAATCTTTTCATGCTCGAATATTTAGACCTATCCAATAACCATCTCACCGGATCCCTCCCTTCCTCCATTGGAAACCTTCCCGTGCTAAGGTATTTATACCTATCTGATAACTCTTTCATGGGATTGCTTCCTCCAGAGACATGGAACATTGGGACCTTGAAGTACTTGGTTTTGAGTTCAAATAGATTTCAAGGCCCTTTAATAGCCAAAGGCCTTGAAGTTTTCTACAGCTATGGTAACTTTTCTGGGAATGCTACGGTAGATTTGGGACAAAGACAAACAATGGACGGTTCTTCGACTGATCTACGCCGACAGATTTGTGAAGGCATGAAATTAGTGCCAAGATTCTTGGAACATTGTATCAGCACAGTGACAATTCGAGTGGAAACTGAGAGTAAATGCCATGCTAATGTCAAGCTTCCTAATTTGCAAGTCTTAGATGTCTCGAACAATCAATTTTCTGATTGTATTCCAGAGAACATAGGAGAAGTCATGCCGATACTGTTCTACTTGCGTGCTTCGAATAACAGTATTTCTGGAACAATTCCCACCTCCATGGGAGACATGAGAGGCTTGCACGTTCTAGATCTTTCTAAAAATAAATTCATGGGTCATATTCCTGCCACCTTGGGAAATTTGAATGTTCTGAAATCTTTGTTCCTGGGACGGAATACATTATCAGGCGTGATCTCATCATCGTTAAGAAGGTGCACCAGTCTAGAGCTTTTGGATCTCAGTGAAAATCAATTCTCAGGGTATATCCCATCATGGATCGGCACAAGTCTCACCTCTCTTCGTGCAATTTGTGTAAGATCTAACAAGCTTGAAGGGACAATTCCTAAGACTATGTCAAGTCTATACTCTCTTCAAGTTTTGGATTTAGCAGAAAATTACTTCTCGGGTGATATCCCCGACATTTTCAGAAACTACACAGCAATGACAATTACAGAGAAGATGTCTTACAATAACTATGATGGCTTCGACTATCCAAGAATTGATATAGTGGCAAAAGGGGCATTGAGAGATTACACCGAATTTCTTTTTCTTGTAATTTGCATAGATCTTTCAAGCAATAATCTCTCAGGATTGATTCCCGAATCACTGATGAAGCTGATTGGCTTGCGTGTGTTGAACTTATCCAGCAACCACTTGATTGGGGAGATACCTCTGAATATTAATAGATTGAGAGAGTTAGAGTCAATGGATTTATCAGAAAATCGCTTCTCCGGTGGCATTCCTATGAGCATGTCAGCTATGGCATCTTTGGGAGTTTTGAACTTGTCCTACAACAAATTTTCAGGACCAATTCCCTATGCTGGCCATATGACTACATTCGAGGCTCCTACATATTATGGAAACCAAGATCTTTGTGGTCCTCCTCTTTCTAAAGAGTGTGATGGTGATGACAAAGATCCAGTATTAAATGTTGATGTGCATTTGAGAAGTAGTTTGCTGGAGTTTCCGCCGTTTTGGATGGGCATGAGCTTGGGGTTTGGGATGGGATTTGGAGGCTTGTTCTCAGCTCTAGCCATTAAAAGGAAATGGAGAAGTGCATTCCTCATGGTCATGGACCTCATAGCTGAGACTTTGATCACAAAATTGCAACGTTTGTTTGGAAGAAGAAGGCATCAATTAATTTATAAAACCATTTGATGAAGATTAGAGCGCGAAGATACAAATAATAACTGTACTGGGCGAGAAATTGTATTGCGTGCTTGTTTGTTTGGAGGTAAGTTTGCTATCCGATATGCTCATGCAATTTTTGTCGAGTGTAATTCATATGTGAAACATGTTTAATTTAATATTTTTTATGCTTTGGTGTGGAGAGAGAGAGTGTGTGTTTTTTTTAAAAAGCATTTGGAAGCTTCACTCTCTAAAGTCTACAATTTGAATCAATGGCAAAACTCTCTCTCTCTCTTTTGAATCAATGGCAAAATTCTCTCTCTCTCTCTGCAATTGGAGTCATAGCAGATTCTTAACTCTTATGTTATTGCTTTGCTGAGCTCAGATGTAACAGCCTCGGTGTTCCATTATGCTTTGACAAGTTTGATATGTGACAGACATCATACGCCAGAGGGCATGGGCTGGAGGGGGCAGGGAAAGCCACAAAAGATCAATATGGAACCAGTATTATCTTGAAGACGAACTTGAAGATACCTTATTTTAATTGGTATTTTAGAAGTTGTCGACAAAAAGTCTTAAAACTATTGAACTGTGTTTTCTAGAAATCATATTATTTTTGTTTTTTTTTTTTGAGTAATGTAGTGAGGTTATATTTGTAATTAATGGAAAATTATGGAACTAATACATGGTTAGTAGTTATTGCTTTGAGGGTAGTTATTTTCGTAAATTTGTTTGTAAAAACCTCTATTTAAAGAAATGTATGTAATGGTAAAGTGAGTCTTATATATCAAATTTGTAATGCTTTTGTGTAGATTTCTCATCTAGCTCACATTGGTTATTCATTTTCTATCTCTTTGGTGGTGAGTCTTGGGCTAATGTGACGTTGTTAAAGTAATTAAGAAGTCAATTGTTTCGGTATTGTAGCATGCGTCTTTCTCCACATGGTATCAGATAAGGATGGGGATATTGGTTTGACAACCTTAGTGAAGAAGATCGATTCTTTTTTTCTTTTTTTTGTTATTATTTTAAAGATGGATTCAAATGAAAGCTTAATTAAACTTAAGGTGATCTTTGTATGAAGAATATTTGTTTGGAGATCTCTATTCTTGATCTGGAAGAACTCATTTTTGAGACACGAATGAAGCGACACATCATTTATGGGTTAAAGTGGGAGTATATTCCCCGTATTACTCCTAGTGAAGGGTGGGTTATGCAGCCATCCTTGGTGGCATTTCAGAATCTTCTTACTTTACAAGAAGCTTTGGAGATGGAGTTTTATTGCATTTACTAGTTTTTCTTTTCTTGATGTTGCAATTTTTTTTTTTTTGATAAGTCACATAGAAATGGAACTTGAGATGTTGTGCTATGAAAACTCAGCCTCTACCGTCTTCCCCCAAGCCTGATTCCTAAAATGAACTAACTTCGTAGCCACAAGAAATTCATTCAATTCCCTTACAAGAGTGAATCCATTTAAGAGTTCACATGGAAGATGCGATGAGGATTTTTTTTGAAAGTTCCAAATATATCATCTCATTTTTAATAGCATCAATAAAAAGCTGTCCGGAAACCCCACTCCCACTCCCATTTCCATGAAAAGCATGACTTCAAGATTGGCATGCAGCAAAAAAGCATGAATTTCACACCCAATTACTCTAATGATGTTTTGTTAACCATAAAGTCAGGACTCATGAGAAAGTGATTAGCTTAGAGAGATAGATGATTAGCTCTAAAAAAGATGAAAGATATTAAAATTGTTACTCTTCAACCAAATCAATTGTCCATCAATAACTTAGAATGATAAAGCACACAAGCTGCGAACATTTTTTAACTCTTTTTTGCACCAACATTTTCTCCCTTTTCACATTATATCCATGGATCACGCACAAGCATTTCACACTGCACTGCCAATTCCACAATATGAAGTCTTGCAAATTCATGTCAGGAAATGAGACTTCCCGTGCTGCTTACTTTCAACTTTCAAAGACTGAAGTCCCACAAAGAAAAGAGAGAAAGGGTATTCTCAAAATTATTTGACAAAAAACCACAAGCTTGTGGCTTACATGTAAATTTCTCATTGAAAAGATTGATAAGGATTAATTTGAAGTCACCGTTGATTTCACCCAAGAAAACAACTACAATTTGATTGCCATTATTAAATTCCACACTTCCTCCTCCAGGAATCTATAAATTCGAAATCCAATCGTAATAGCAAATGCACAAGCAAATATTGTGAATGTTTGCAGGCCATGAGAATGGAAGTGGTGCTGAGATCTCCATTCCTTATGTTCATCTTCCCATTCAATTTAGGTCTTTTGATTCAAACATTTGGTTACTCAAAGGTTGAATTAGAGGATGAAGCTGAAGCGTTGCTGAACTGGAAAATCACTCTAAAATACCACTCTTTGGGTTCTTGGTTTCTTAAAACTGACAACTCGACCTGCCATTGCAGCTGGATTGGAGTCAAATTGCAATTGAGATGAACCTCTCAAATTTCTGGTAGGCACTCTAAATCAATTGAATTTCTTCATGTTGCCTAGTTTGACCCATCTCAATCTCAGCTATAACGATCTTGAAGGAAAAATCCCAAGGAGTATCGGCTCACTTTCAAACCTCAGTTTCTTGGATCTGGGAGCGAATCACTTCACAGGACCAATGCCTGAGGAGATTGGCAACCTCACCGAGCTTCGCTTTGTTTCTCTGCTGTCAAACTTCCTCACCCGCTCCATCCCCTATCAGTTGGGTGATTTACAAAAGGTACAATTCTTAGAACTTGGTGGAAATTGCTTGGACCCTACTGACTCGTCGAGGTTTCCAGGCATGGAGTCTCTTGTTCACCTCTCCCTACATGACAACTCCTTAAAAGATTTCCCAACCTTTGTTTTCCAATGTAAAAAATTGGTATACTTGGATTTGTAACAAAATGCATTAACCGGTGAAATCCCAATTCAAATGGTTTCCGGTCTCAAAAATGTACAGTTCCTCAACCTGGGTGGGAATTCATTTCAAGGGCCCATTCCTACTGAACTTGAAAATCTAGAGAGTCTTCGAGAACTTTGACTTGATTGGAACAATCTGACAGGTTCTATTCCTCGTGAGATCGGCTTCATCTTAGGCCTCCGAAAAGTTTCCCTGGATGAAAACCCATTACTTGGCGGACCCATCCCGGGACCTGTTGGGCAACTTTGGGCTCGTGAGGAACTCAGCCTCCACAAATGTGGATTGACCTCTACCAACCCAGCACACTTATTTACCAATTGGACTAATATCACTTATTTGGACCTCCGTAGTAAGTTCTCATAGGACCAATCCCCTCTGAAATCATCCTTCTCAAAAAGCTTGACCTTTCTAGTAACTGGCTTGTTGGTTGGCTCCCCACCTCAGTTAGAAACCTTTCCATGCTTGAATACATGGACGTATCCGCCAACCATTTCACAGGTTCCATCCCTTCCAGTATCGAAAAACTTTCCATGGTTCGTGTTTTGGACCTATCCGTTAACTCTTTCATGGGACTGCTTCCTCCAGAGACATGGAACATTGTGAACTTATGGTACTTGGACTTGAGTTCAAATAGATTTCATGGCCCCTTAATATGCAATAGTTCTTATACCAAGGGCCTTAAAAGTATTTTATAGCTATGGTAACTCTTCCGGGAATGCTACGGTAGATTTGGGACAAACAATGGACGGTTCTTCGACTGATCTACGACAACAGATTTGTGAAGGCATAAAATTAGTGCGGAGATTCTTGGAACATTGTGTTTGTTAGCACAATGACATTCCGAGTGGAAACTGAGAATAAATGCCATGGTAATGTCAAGCTTTCTAGTTTGGAACACTTGGATGTCTCGAACAATCAATTTTCTGGTTGTATTCCAGAGAACATTGGAGAAGTGATGCCAATACTGTCTTTCTTGAGTGCTTCTAATAACAGTATTTCAGGAACAATTCCTACCTCCATAGGAGACATGACAAGCTTGCAAGTTCTAGATCTTTCTACAAATAAATTCATGGGTCATATTCCTGCAACCTTGGGAAATTTGAATGATCTTATATCATTACGCCTGAGAAAGAATACATCATGGATTGGCAAAAATCTCACCTCGCTTCTCTTTATTTGTCTAAGATCGAACAAGCTTGAAGGGACAATTCCTAAGACTATGTCAATTCTAAACTCTCTTCAAGTTTTCGATGCAGCGGGAAACTTACATTTCGGGTGATATCCCTGACATTTTCAGAAACTTCGCTGCAATGACAATTACAGAGAAGATGTCTTACTCCACCTATGATCACTATGCCCCCTTCGACTATTCAAGAATTGATATAGTTGAAAAAGGGGCATTGAGAGATTACACCAAGTTTCTTTTTCTTGTAACTTGCATAGTCCTTTCAAGCAATAGTCTCACAGTAAAGATTCCTGAATCACTGACGAAGCTGATTGGCTTGCGCGTGTTGAATTTATCCAGAAACCACTTGATCCGGGAGATTCCTCTGAATATTAATAGATTGAGAGAGTTAGAGTCGATGGATCTATCAAACAGTCTCCTTTCCGGTGGCATTCCTATGAGCATGCCAGATGTGGCATCTTTGGGAGCTTTGAACTTGTCCTACAACAATTTTTCAGGACCAATTCCATATTCTGGCCATATGAGGCTTCTTCATATTATGGAAATCAAGATCTTTGTGGTCCGTCCTCCTCTTCCTAAAAAGTGCGATGGTGATAACAAAGTTCCAATATTGAATGGTGAAGGGCATTTGAGAAGTAGTTCGCCATTTCCATCGTTTTGGATGGGCATGAGCATGAGCATGAGCATGGGGTTTCGAATGGGATTCGGATGTTTGTTCTCAGTTCTAGCAATTAAAAGGAAATGGAAAAATGCAGTCCTCATGGTAATGGACCTCATAGCTGAGACTTTGATCACAAGATTGCAACGTTTGTTTGGAAAAAGAAAGCATCGATGATTTTATAAAACCAGTTGATGAAGATTAGAGAGTGCAGATATGAATAGCAACAGTATTGGGCGTGAAATTTTATCGCCTGCCTGCATGTTTGTTTGGAGGTAAGCTTGCTATCCGATATGCTCATGCAATTTCTGTTTTGAGTGTAATTCTTATGTGAAACTTGTTTAGTTTAATATCTTTTAAGCATTGGTGTGGAAAGAGAGAGAGAGAGTTTTCAAAACATTTGGAAGCTTTACTCTCTAAACTCTTCAATTTGAATCAATGGCAAAACTCTCTCTTTTGAATCAATGGCAAAACACACACACTCTTTCTCTCTCTCGCTGTGCAGTTGGAGTCATAGCAGATTCATAATTGTTACATTATTGCTTTGCTGAGCTCAGATGTAACAGCCATGATGTCCCATTATACTTTGACAAGTTTGATATGTGACATGCATCATACGCCGCAGGACATGGGCTGGTGGGGCAGGGAAAGCCTCAAAATTTCAACATGGAATGAGTATTATCTTGAGGATGAACTAGTAAATACCTTATTTTTATTGCCATTTTAGGAGTTACCAATTGAAAGTGTTTAAACTATTGAAATGTATTTTCTAGAATTCATATTAGCATTGTTTTTTTTTATTGTATTTCGAGTGATGTAGTAAGGTTATATTTATAATTAATGGAAAGTCATGGAACTAATACGTCGTTAGTAATTATTATTATGACAGTTGTTATTATAGTAAATTTGTTTGTAAAAACCCTATTTAAAGAGTGTGTGGTGGTAGAGTGAGTTTCATGTAGAGTGAGTTTCATGTATCAAATTTAAAGAGTGTGTGGTGGTAGAGTGAGTTTCATGTTTTTGAGTATCTTTTTTTCTTCGAACTCACCTTTATTATTCATCTTTTATCTCTTTAAATGGTGAGTCTTCGGCTAATGTGATATTGTTAAACTAAGTAAAAAGGATATTGTTTCGGTATTGTAGTGTGCGTCTTTCTCCACATGGTATCAGACAAGGGTGGTGATGATATTTTTTGACTCCTTTGGTGAAGAAGATCGATTAGTTTTTCTTAAAAAAAGATAGATTCGAATGAGAGTTTTGGCTAACTGATCTTTGTAGCAAGAATACTTGTTCGGAGATCTCTATTCTTGATCTGGAAGAATTCATTTCGGTGCCACGAATGAAGTGACACATCATTTATGGGTTAAAGAGGGAGTATATTCCCTATATTACTTCTAGTTAAGGGTAGGTTATACAGCCATCCTTGGTGGCATTTGAGAATCTTCTTATTTCACAAGAATCTTTGACCTGTCAAAGGGCTAGATTTTCAATTTGGAGAAGTGACGGAGATAATCGCATCACACTTAATAGCTAAGCTTTTTCTCGCTTTCAGAAAATTACTTTTAAGGGGGAGTATTAAAATGATTAATAGTTTTTATTTTATTTTCAGTGATGCAGGTGATTATTGTACAATAGGAAATTATGGAACTAATAGGTGATTATTGTACAATAGGAAATTATAATTGTACAATAAGAAATTATGGAACTAATAGGTGATTATTAGTTATTGTTGTAAAAAAATAATTATTGTTGTAAGTTGGTTGTTATTGTAGTTAGTTAGGTTGTAAAAACCACTATTTAAATATATGTGTGTGGTGAGAAAAGTGAGTCTTATGTATCAAGTTTATAATGCTTTTTTTTTACGATACAAATCGGAGAGATCGTTATATGAAGATCCCTCAGATCCGTAGTACAAATTGATTTTAAAAGTGATAGAAATTGGGGAAAATCAAATTCTTATATGAAGCTAGATCTATTAAAAAACAAATAGATCCGCTCTCAAGTCCTTGCCGAGCCCGAGTTGTCTCTGGTTAGAGGTCCAACTTGGGGATCTTAACAAACATAGAAAGTATTTTGGCCATGAATATTTTGGCCATGAATATTTATATATATATATATTAAAATTTTTTTTTTGTTTGAAAAACCTGTTGGTATAAGACTTGGGCAAGTACTCAGCTGGGGCATGGGCCAAGTTTCCGCTAGCAACTGGGGTCATGGTGGTAGCACTTCCATATGCTAGTTACCACATTGTGTTTCCATTCCCAACATTAACACAATGCTAACTCTTAATTTACTTGAAAAACATGCTAGTCACCGCATTGTGTTTCCATTCCCAACATTAACACAATGCTAACTCTTAATTTACTTGAAAAAAACGGACAAAAGCTTGTCTTCCCTACTAAATTGCCAAAAAAAATTTAAAAAGAAAAAAACAACCAACAACCGTCTTCCCTACTAAATTGAAAAAAAGAAAAAAAAAAGAAAAAGGAAAAAAAAAAACCAACACCAATATGACGGTGATAGTTGATAACTTGGCATCATCTTGTTTGCATCTCCTTGACTAAAATTCTATAAAAACCAAGAAATTCTTTTTGAAAACATAGACTCTCACTTGAGGCTCACCCGAGTCGATCAGGGTGACGACTCAATGGCATAGTATAAAATTATCGACGAACAATATCCCCCAAACATAATTGCATTTTAGAGAGATAAATAAAAATCATGAAGGAAATCATAAGAAAAAAGAACAAACACGTGGATACAAGTATTTCGGCACAAGCCGACAAACAAAGAAGAAGAAAAAACAACCACAAAGAGCTCGCTCTCTCTACAAAATAACTTTCTTTTTCATTTAATCAAAATCAATCCTATTACAACCCACGTGCTCCTTTTTAAAGGAGTTTTGCTTTCACAAACTTATAGATAATTACTAAAAAAAAATATCTTCTAAAAGATTTTTACTTATTCCAAAACTAATGCAACTCGTACCACGTTACTTTTCAAAAAATAAACCTTACCTTTCTATAAATAAAAGATAACTACCTTGTCATAAGATTTTCCATTATCTCACATCCTTCTGAGCTTCCTTCAATTAAGGGGCTCGCATTCTAAACCTCCTAAAATATCTCCCTACTAAATAACTAAAATAATATAAAACAAAACTATCTTATATGCTTCTATTCATCTAAAGGCGCCACCTCTTTGTAAAGAAGGAACCTACCAAGTACTAACTAATATCTCCAAAGAAAAAATATGTATATCTTTTTATTTTAAAAAGAGGCTCCAAAAGAAAGACCAACTTTCTAAATAAATCCCCACCTAGAAAATATAGATACTTCCTTAAAATATAACTTTATAAAAAAAATCCCTATTAATCCTATTTCTAAAAATTTATCCTAATAAAATAAAGATAAAAACACCCATAAATTCTCAAAATAAAATTAACAAAATAAAAATAAAATTTTGTAGGAATCATATCTAAAATCAAATAGAGGTGCATGGGAAGTTAAGTATAAAGAGAATTTCATTTCTTTTAATAATGCACAATATGCATGACGGATGCAAAGAGAGAGAAGGTGCAGAAGGTTGGGGGTGTGGGTGTTCTATATTAAAATAGGACTTTTGAGTTCCATTGTAATAGTTCAAAAGTTGATATTTTTTTGGTCAGAGTTTGGTTTTAATTTGGGCCTAACGTTCGAATTTTATTTACTTTTTAATTTTTTTAATATTAAACAACCACAATTTGATTGCAACGTGTCCTTAAAAATTAAGTTAAAAAATCTATCTCAAAAATAGATTTATTAATAGACCCTGGCTGCATAGAAATGGGTCCAAAAGAATTACAGAGAGAGAATACAATTGCATGAAAGATGAAATCAAAAGTCAGCTTCGAGCATTATTGGGTGGTCCATCCCTGAATCATTAGGTCAGCTTCGAGCTCTTGAGGATCTGAGACTCCGCGATTGTGTGTTGAATTCTAGTTTCTATGTACACTTCTTTCCCAAATGGACAGGTCTCACTTATTTGGATCTCAATAGGAACTTAGTCAGAGGACATAGCCCCTATGAAATTGCACTTCTCAAAAAGCTTCAGTTTCAGTGGCTACAACTTGATTCAAATCATATTCCCGGATTCTCCCTTCTCAAAAATGGAATCTGTCTTCTATCGATCTTTCTAGAAAAAAAATCATGGGATCATTCCCACTTCCTTAGGATATTTGAAAGATCTACGATCATTGTTCATGAGAGACAATCGATTATCTGGCGAGATCCCATCATCATTAAAAAATTATTCCTGCTCAGAGATTATAGATCTTAGTGAGAATCAAATGTCTGGGTATATCACGTCATGGATCGGCCGATGTCTTACCTCAGTTCATGTTCTTTGTCCGAGAACTAACAATCTCACGGGGACCAGTTCTGTTCTCTCTTCAAGTTTTAGATGCTGCTGAAAATTGCCTTTTAAGCACTATTCCTGACATTTTCAGAAACTTCACAACAATAACTACGATTGAGAAGATGGCTAACTATAATTATGATCGCAATCAGAGCTTCGACTATGTGGTGAGCATTGTTATAGTTGAAAGTGTCAATAATGGATCACATCAACTTTCTTTCTCGTGTGACATGCATAGATCTTTCAATAAATAATTTCTCGGAAAGTATTCCAGAATCATTGACCAAAGCAATAGGGTTTCATGGGTTAAACCTAGCGAAAACCAAATGATTAGGAAGATCCCTCAAAAGATTAATCAATTGCAAAGCTAGAATCAATGGACGTCTCAAACAAATCTACTTTTTGGTGGCATTCTTCTTAGCATGTCATCATTAAATTCCGTGGTGGCATCGAACTTGTCCTACAACAATTTGTCTGTAGGAATTCCTTATGGTGGCCACATGATCACATTCAATGTCTCAACATATTGTGGAAACCAAGATCTTTGTGGTCCTCCTCTTCCCAACAAGTGTGATGGTTATGAGCTAGTGCCAAGATTTAACAATGTTGGGATTTGAGTAGTGGGCCACTAGAGGTCCCATAGTTTTGGATGAGTGTGGGCTTGGGGTTGGGGATTGGATCTGGAGGATGGTTCTATGTTCTAGCCATTAAAAGGGAATGCAACCCTTAAGGTCATGATCTTCATCTCTGAGATTATGATCATGAGATCGCAACATTTGTTTGGCAAAAGAAAGTGACGATGAGTTTATAAAATCTTATCATGTGTTTGTATTGTTTGGAGATGAGTCTATCTGTCCAATATATCCATGCCATCTTTGTTTTGGATGTATAAGGTTGACACCTTATACAAAGTACAAACCTCACCCTTTTTGTTATATATGTTCAGTGTAAGTTTTTTCTTCACATGGAGAGAGATAGAGAGATGCACTGAGAAATTTGAAATTCATAAGAATAGCATTCTAAGATAAAAGAAAATCATCTACTAGAATGTAGGTTTTTAGTTTTGGCCAAGCTTTCTGATCTACAACATAAGACTTATATGCTTCCCTTTATCCAATCGTCCATCCTGAATGGACCGCTGGGATGGCCCCAATTACAATGTCACGTCTTTACACTATTTTATTTTCAATTTTTTAACAAAAATTATTTGAGGGTGCCCACTCCTCTCTTAAACTCACACCTATAAAAAAAATATAAAGAACAATATTTCCAATAAAATAAAATAATTAAAATACTTCTGAAATGCACGTTTCCCTTAGGTTTTTCATGGTCCAAATGAACGTTTGAGTAAGAGGGACTGAAATTTCTTATTGTCTTTTCTAGGAATAAGAATTTCAAAATATTTTTGTAAGTTCTTGTGCTTTTTGCTGGTACCTGTTCATAGATCATCACATCAAAGCAGCTCGACTTAATATAAGATTGTTTATGAAGATAGGTAGCCACTGGATGGTGATATTTTTCCTGCATGTCTAAACAAACCTTTCTTTGTAACATTTCCTGAAACACTGAAAAGAGATTTGCCATTCATTCCAATATTTAAGAAAGGGAAGGGTTGCCATTCCATTCAAACTCTTGGTTATAAAACCTAAAATTCTCTCTCTCCAACACAGAGGCAGAGTTTAGAGGTCAATGCCTCTTTCTATTTATTAAGAGACATTTGTTGGTTTACTTCTTCTTTATGCATATACCTCTTCATTAGAAGAGAGAGTTCCTTCAAGAAGAAGAGGAGAGAGAAATGTGGGAGAGAAGCCCTAACTCTTCTTAAGCCTTATCTTTGTGTTGGATGGTCAGAGAGAGAGAGACAGAGGCCTTATCTTTGTGTGGGAAGGTGAGAGAGAGAGAGAGAGAGATTCTATGGGTAGATCTAGATCCTTAGAGAATAGAGAGAGAAAAACATCTAAAAAAAATCGTAGAGATTTGCAGCCAAGGGAAAGCTTGCCTCTTGGAAGAAACTGACCTCCATTAGAGTAGATCATTTATGGGGATGATTAGGAAGAAACTGACCTCCATTAGAGTAGATCATTTATGGGGAAAAAATCATCAATGGAGTTGTGCAGCCCCCACTTGCATGCATGTATGCTGAGGTGTTTGTTTTTTCTTTTTATTTTTTGAGAGGGTAACATAGGAATGGAATTTGAGACATGGTGCTTTCGAGGTCTTTGGTTTTTTTTAAAAGAGAAGCATAAGAATGGAACTTGAGACATGATGTTATAAAAACCTAGCTGCTACCTCTTGGACCCAGGTCTGATTCAAAACTAACGAAGACAACCCAGGAAAAACACACAAATGACAAACATAATTTTAATTTAATATTGTGCAAGTACTTTCAAATCGGGGTTCGGTCGATCCTCTTAGACTAAGGGTGGCAACTATACTGAGCCTTAGCCTTGACCCTGCCTTTGTTCCCTTAGAGTCGGGTCGGGCCAAGCCAAAAGCAAAAGAAAAAAGAATAAAAGAAAAACAATAAAAAAAAAAGAGGGCCTAACCGGTTTGGATTTACTAAAAATTGGCTTGAGCTACCAAAAATTGATCATTTTAGAAGGGCCAAAAAAACTTCGAAAAATTTCATGCACTCACCAAACAATCTCCTTAATAATTTTGCAAAAATAAAATAATTTAACCTTTTAATTAAGAAAAATATCTTGATAGAGGGCTGTAACCCTATCCCAATAAAGAAAGCCTCAAATTCAAAACCCACTGAAAAATGCCACTTCTAAAACTTCATCTTAATGGAAAAAGTTTCCACAGTAAGAGTCCTCCTCGCTAAAAGCCTACACCGTGCACTACAACAACCAGTGAGTACAACCAAAATCCACCGTCCTTTCTTTCAGGTGGTGGAGATGGCTACCTGTCACCTGCTAACTCAAAGCGGTTTTAAAAGTAAAAGATGATGCATCTTTGCCGTCCATAAATAAGTACGGACGGTGGAAACTGGATGTTCGCATCACGAGTATTCTCGCACCTACCTCCCTCCCTCCCTCCCTCTCTAAACGCATTCTCTTGCATATTCTCTTCCATTGCCGCAGGTTTTTAAATAACTCCCTTTCTCTCTCTCTAAAGAGCCTCGATAGCAATGGTTGCAGGCGCAGAAGCTCAGCTGCAGCACGGGTACGCCATTTTCACTTTATTCCTATTTCTCAAAATTGTGATTTTGGATTTCTCTAGGTCACCTTTTTTTTTTGTTTTCTTCCGTCTCTAACATATACATATGTTGGGGTTGTGTTTCTTCATAGCTTCAAATTCCGCCGTATTTACTTTGTCATGCGTTTTATTTTGAATTTTAGCGCCATTTTCTTTTGAAGAGCATGGTTCATATGATTTTCACTGTAAAGAGTTGAAATTAATCCATTTTCGAAAGGTTTATTCGTTTGTCAAATACCGTTATTTCTTACGGTGTTCATATTTGTAGTAACTGAAGATTAGGCTTTTATGGATCGTGTAACAGTCAGATTCTGTAATTTGTAATGCACTGATTTCACGGTTATATTTTCTGGTATATTTAATTTCCTATTTGTCTTTAATCTGTTGATGTGTAGTTGAAGTTAGGGTTTGTATTTCGCATATCGTAGGAGTTCTCTCTTCATGATCTATTCTGATGGAGGGATGAAATTGGGGGTTTCATTTTCTGTGAAGTTCTGGTTCTTTATGCAGTCATATAAGAAGGTTTCATTACTTGGGTTTTATTTTCGTAATTGGAGAATAGCATTTTCTTATCTTCTATTGATTGGTAAATTTAATTTTCTCTTATTATTAATCCAGTGGTAATCTGTTGCTTGACCAGATGGCAATTTAAATTCAATTCTTATTCGAAGTGATTTTGGGTTTTTATCATTGAATATTATGATCCCTTTAGGTCTCGTATATGCGTAAAAAATTTGCCTAAATATGTGACTGAGGATCGGCTTCGAGAGTTCTTTTCTCAGAAAGGGGAGATCACAGATGCCAAATTAATGCGTACCAAGTTAGTATTTTCTTTGTTCAATGATTTTTCTTTTGCTTATACTTTTCTTTCTGCACTCTCTTCCATATATCTCGTAAAAGTGACAAGTTTTTCCCGATAAGTATGCGGTTTTAGTTATTTTGGTGTTATGTAGAGATGGTAAAAGCCGGCAATTTGCTTTCATTGGTTTTCGCACTGAGGAAGAAGCAAAAGAAGCAATAAAATACTTCCACAATTCATATTTGGACACCAGCAGAATAACATGTGAGGTTGATTTCGTATTTCTATTGTTTTTCTGGAAAATTCATTTCAAATTTCTATTCTTCTGCAAACTTACTGTTTTGTATGCGTATATCAAGAAGATATATTATTCAGATGAGTTGTATTTGCTGGTCATATCTTCTGTTTATGTTTGGTTTCATGTATCTCCACGTACTTGGAGCCCTTGATTCATATGTGATAGTGAACCTGTCCGTTATGTTTTGTTAGATCTTTATTTGTTATGCGATAATTGTAAGAAATAATTGAATGCATGGCTCATTATAATTTTTATATGTTAAGCTTTGTGGTTTTTCATATTCAAGCTAGTGCTTGAGTATCCTCGTAATATGGGCTTTGTGTCTTTCATATTCAAGTGGGTGTAGTTTTATGTTTTAGGATGAACGATTAATGCTGTTTAACATGTACCTACTTTGTGGGTACCTTCACTCATGTATAATGAATATCTACCTGCATAAGAAAGGAAACAAATAGGCACATGCATATCTGCATACATCCATTTAGTCACTGAAACATGCATATATGAAAAAGGGAAACATGCATTCATAGACAAACACATACCTGTCTATCTAGATATGCTTGCATGCATCACACTTGAATTCTTTTTTTTTCTTTGCAAGTAATAGAAAGGATGCAAAAGTTACATGTACCTTTCAGGAGCCCCTATAGTGGAAATCCCGTATCTTTTAGTTATCCAGCTCGATATCCAACATAGCCATCTCATATATCATCACTTTCCTTCCTCAGTTAATTAACAATATTTATCCATGAATATTCATAAGACATATATATATCTGAGAAGATTGTGTGCTGTCTTCGAGGAAATAGATTATTTGTTTAGAGCCATTTAATTCTGTTTTTGAGGATCACTAATTTCCCTAGTCAAAATCAGAAGACTTTCTAGCTCCATGTGCAGTGCTACATGGACACTGACACTGGTGTCAGTAAGATAGTAAACAGGTGTCAAGGGTGTCCAATCCTGAAAGTTAAAATAACGTGACCATCGGATCGAGTGATATCTCTCAGAGTGTAGCTATTGAAGTTGAAATTGACCTTATACTATGTGAACCTTCCCTTGTGATTGGCTGGAGATTTAGATTTTTAGGACATCAGCATGATTTGTAATATACATCTACATTTTATTGAATAACTAATTAAGACGAGATCAAATCATTGCAGGATTGAGTTGGGAATTTGGTTCTTTTTCTTAACAATGAGAGCGATACATGGCTAATTATTCCAAAAGGAAATAGAAGCTAGAAAGAGATGCATGAATGTCTTAGACCTGCATTTTGGAACCACATTGAAGTTTCCATTAACTAACAAAAAGTGAAGTTTCCAGTAACTAACAAAAAGTGAAATAGACAGAGTCCAAGTGACTGCATTGCTTTTTCCTATAAGTACCTAACTAACCAGTTTTTTATGAACAGAAGTCTAAAGAAAGTGACTGAGGCATATATGTTTATGTCCATGAATTTATAATCTTCTTCTGTTTTTTTCTTTCTTATTGTTTCTTTTGGGTAGGTCACTTTGGGTTTTGAACCTTGGATGTAAGGTTGTCACTTGCAAGACCTAAGTAATAAAGCCAAGCCAGAAAGAGATAAATTTTATGTTTAATATATATATACATCAATGTTCAAAAATTCGCCACCCAGGTGGCCAGGCAGAAAATTTTCAAAAATGCCTAGGCACTAGGTAGGTGGGACTACCCAAAAACCTCTCTTTTGTGATTTATCGAAAGATTGATAAATTTTTTATTTTTTTGATTTCTTCCCAAAACAAAGCCAATAGTTCATGGTGTTTTTGGAGCTTCTAGTAGTCCATTTTGAGGACTTTTGGCGACCCTATAAGACGAGGTTTGCACCGACATCAATTTGATTTTGATATTTTTAAAGTATTATCATATTTGAAAAAAGGGTTTTGATATGATTTTGCTATAACGTATTATGTTGTGAATCATTTGTTCTTTCTTTTATTTATTTTTTTCTTTTACGATATATTTAAATGTTTGTAGTTAAAAATTGAATTATTTTGTGATTAATTGAATTTTTTCACATTTGGAGCATGAAATTGGGCATATATCGTATTCTTTTATGAATAGTTGATTCATGTTTTGATATTCTATTATTTTTGTTTTACTTTATTTGATAAATTAATAATTATGTGATATGTTAATGAGTTAAGTCTTATGTGAAACTAAGATCTTATATATTTATTTAAGTCTTACTGTAAAATTAAATCTTACTGTTTTAAAACTAACATCTTAATGATGATACTTATATATCTTAATTATGTGAGGGTACCCTGTGCTGGGCGGGTGCCTGGGCGCCTAGGCGGCCAGGCCCCCAAAACACCTTGGCGGGCGCCTGCGCTTTCCTGAACATTGATATACTTATTCACTATACACAGTGATTCATTCACATATACTGATAGGAGGAAAACTCATATGCCTATACTAGCCTTTCTATTTGTGATCCTTGTTAGTTAAATAAGATGGGTTCTTTCGAATTTCTATTTATTTGATGACTTAATTTTTTTAATATAAATGCTAACTACAAAAATGTCCTTTTTCTCCTTCATTTTCAAAGAGTACTACCATCAAGTTCACTAACCAATTGGTTTCCATCCTGTAAACTGTTAGGTTGCTCGTAAAATTGGTGATCCTGATATTCCACGGCCATGGAGTCAACATTCTGCTAACAAAAAAGGCTCAAATGCCGGAGACAATGGCAAAAATTCAAGCAGTAAGAGTTCAGAAGGCAAACATGAAAAGATTAAATCTGCTAAACACAGTGAAGAGAACAGAGAGACCAGGATCCTCAGCTTCAAGAATTTCTTGAAGTTATGCAGCCACGGAGCAAGTCAAAACTATGGGCAAATGATACCATCATATCTGATGAACATCATACATCTAATAGAAAAGAAATTCATCCAAGTAAGGGAAAGAGTAAGGAAACGAATAAAATGGAGGATGAGGTTGGAGCTGAAATAATTGATGGAGAGAAATTACCAAATGAGGGGAGTTTATCAAGGTCTTTGCCAAGAGAGTCTAATGATGTGGCTGGAAACCCTGCTGTCTCTGACATGGATTATTTCAAAAGTAGAGTGAGAAAGGATTGGTCTGATTCTGAAGCAGATGAGAGAGAGAGTTCAGATAAATGTCCTAGTGATAATGAAGATACTGGGATTGATAGTGAGCTTTACGAGGGTGAGAATCTCTCTTCCAAAGCTGGGGAATTGCATGAGAAAACTGGGGAGGACAACCTCCCTGAAGTTCCAGATGGCGAGGTTTTTGAAGATGGTGACAACCCATCATCTTCTCTGATTTCAGATGAACAAGCACAGGTCCTTGAGACTGGGCGTCTCTTTGTACGCAATCTTCCATACACTGCAACGTATGTGCAGTCTTTGTTCGTTTTCCTCTTTCATCTCCCTTAAAGTATGCAGTCTTTGAATGAATCATTGTGAATGGCGCCGCAACCTAAATGTTCCATCCATTCACACTAAAGGATGGCCAAATATTAATTGTATCAGAGTGAATGTTTCCGTGGGGCTCAACTCCAGTCAGCCATCCGTCTTTGGAAATAGATGGCCAATGTAGCCTCGGATTGTCATGTACCATAGTTGAGTGCACTATGGCATGATTTCCTTGTTCTCCTCCTTTCTTTTTGTCTTGTTCTAGTTTATTGAGCACAAATATTTGATATTCATGAAGCCAGATAAATGAGTTGCTCCTTTAGCTTGGCAGTGAGGCATGTTTCATGTCTACTCTTAAATGACTTCCTTTGTAATTTCGTTTATTACCACATCAGGGAAGATGAACTAGCTGAGCTCTTCAAGAAGTATGGTGACATCTCACAAGTCCATCTTGTGGTTGATAAGGATACTAGACGCTCAAAAGGATTTGGTTATGTGCTTTATACACTCCCAGAATCTGCAGTGAGGTAATAATTTCCTTGAACAAATTTTTTGTTTATTTTATTGAAGTCTTTTGCTATAGTAATCTTTCCTTAATGGTATACCCAGTTTGATATCTAGAGTGTTTCTAACTTAATAAACATTTTATGAAGAATTTAAGTGTGATTATTGTGTGCTTGTGTATGCAAGTGCTGGATATAACAAGATAATTTGGTGGTTTTATTTTTTAATTGACGCCCACCGCATAATAGTGTGCTGTGCTTCTAGTATAGTGCTTGTCTCAGATAGTTCAGATTCCTGATGTGGAAGCATTGATGTACTCCCTGTGAAGAACTGATGACCTTATGTGCTTTGATTGCATTATTATAACATACAGGCAGTTACTCGTCTGATTTAAGTTTGAACGCTTCCTTTATGTACTCATAAGTCATATTGTTGAATTTTAAAGATGAGACTTTTAACCAGCACAGAAAGCATTAGGTGGGCCCTAAGTGGATTAGCCTAGTCCAGCTTATAGATTCTTTTCAAGAACTGACAACATATCTAAATTGACTGGAATTTTATAAAATACAGGCAATTTTAGGTATTTTAAGTTTGATCATTTTCTTTACCTTCTCATAAATTGTAATATATTATTGGACTTTAAAATTCAAACTATTAACCAGAGACATAGAAAGCTCAGGTGGGCCCCAAGTGGAATAGTCTAGTGCTAGCAATAGTTGCTGGGTGACTAGGCAACTTCATGTGTGTGTCTATCTCCTGAGACAAGCATGAGTGAGATCTGCTTGCCTTGGCTGGCTTTCTAGTGAGTGTTTATGTACAGGTGGGCCCCAAGTGGAATAGTCTAGTGCTAACAATAGTTGCTGGGTGACTAGGCAAGTTCATGTGTGTGTCTATCTCCTGAGACAAGCATGAGTGAGATCTGCTTGCCTTAGCTGGCTTTCTAGTTATGAGTGTTTATGTACATATGTTTGCCGTATAAATAAGAGTCATATTTTGTACTGATATGCTTAATACTGCTCCATTGTTGTATGCCTCTCTACACATTACGCCCATATACTAATGCGAAATATTGTCAGCTTTACGTCAAATTTCAAGGGAAAACCACCGGCAGGGCTCTTGTCTTGTTCTATGTTAATAGAAAACGTTATTGTACTTTCTGCCATGTAACTGGATTTGTACTTGTGTACATTGACTTATAAGGAAAAAGAGAAGTTTACTGTTTCTGTAATTTTTTGTGACTTATGTTGCAAGTAGGATTTCTATTTTTTCTCTCTGTTTTGGTTATTTACAGGGCCCTAAAAGAACTGGACAAATCAATTTTCCAGGGAAGACTATTACATGTTCTACCAGCAAAGCAACAGAATGCCCCTGAGAAACCTCAGTAAGCTCTTCTAACCTGCTAGAGTTTACGTTTTTATTAGTTATAAGGTCACATATATATCCTTGGTACTATATAGTAATAAGGAGTATGTGTACTAGCTATTGTGTTGTTATTATGTGAGTCATTATAATCATGATTTTTTCTATTTTCTCCAGGCATGATCTTCCCATGATCCAGGGTTCAAACAAATTTAAACAGAAAAGGGAAGAGCAGAGAAAAGCTTCTGAAGGTAGTGGAGACACAAGGGCATGGAATGCTTTGTTCATGCACTCAGATACTGTACGTTACAAATTTTTAACTTTGATTGACCTTTTGTGCTTTATATTGATAACAAAATGTTTTTCGCAAGTTATAAAGAAGTCACATCATAATGTGTTTTATTCCTATTTTGTGGTCTATTAGGTTGCTGAAAATATTGCGAGGAAGTATGGGGTCAGCAAAAGTGAGCTGCTCAATCCAGAAGCTGATGATCTTGCAGTCCGTTTGGCCTTAGGAGAAACCCAAGTAATTGCAGAGACAAAGAAAGCTTTCACAAGTGCAGGGGTCAATATAACTGTTCTAGAGGAATTGGCTTCTGGAAGGGTTGAAAATGTGAAAAGAAGCAACCATGTCCTCCTGGTCAAGAACTTGCCATATGGTTCATCTGAAGCAGATCTTACAAAAATGTTCAGTAAATTTGGAAGTTTGGATAAAATCATCCTTCCACCAACAAAAGCTATGGCATTGGTATGCATGCCTGTATTTACCTTTGCGAAATAGTTTTATTCTTTATTTCTATTTTCATTTCATTTTTATGTTTTGTTTATGCTTTCCTTTTTACTATTGCTATGTAGTTTACTTGTTTTCTATTCTGTGGTTTTTGGGATTTGCCTTGTTTGTTGGAATTCACTCTTCACTACTGCTATATCCATTTTCTTTGATACTGAAGTCAATGTTGTAAGACACCTTGCAATCCATGGTGGCTTGCCGATTCTTGAGTCATATTACTGATCCAGGGTGATCCAACTCAAAATGATGAAATGAATATCGTAAAGATTTTTTAGAAGTGGGTAGAAGCTTGTGAAAAAAAAATCCACTTGTACAGAACTAGTTACAACCTGCAAATCAGAGAGATTGGAGTTCAAAATAAACAAAAAATTGATTCTGCAAAAATAGGGCTTCAATTTGAAAAATGGAGCTTTAGATCTTCCTCATCTCACAAAAGTGACTATATTGAAGAAATTCTGCAAATAAAATGGCTCAAAATGAGCCAAAGATTTGAGAAAAGATGGAAAATGCCTTTTTTCGAAGAAAATAAGTCTTCACATGGGAACATTGTCAGTTTTGGGTGATTTTAAAAAAATCGTTGAAAAATCAGGAATAGCCTGAGCCCGACGATCGAATCACCCTGTTCATTGCTGTGAACTGTGCGATTCGTGTTGCATCAGGGACGAATCTCTGGTTCTTAGGTGTCTGTAACTAGAGGACCCCCAGTGCAATTCTGATTGGTCAATTGTGATCAGAATCGGAGATTTTCTCTGCGCTGCTGAAAAGGTCATTATGTTGTGTCTTCTTTCTAGCCTTCACAGCTATGCTTTTTCGTCTTAGAAATATTCCCTGGTAAGTAATTGGCATGTTCCATTTGCATGTTTTTTTCTTTTCTGGAATGAGATAGGTCACTTGCACCAATATCTCGTTGTATAGAATTTGTGTTATAAATGTTGTCCTTTGTTTGAGAAAACTGATTTCCTTTTGGTTTCTTCAGGTTAGCTACCTTGAAGCTGCTGAAGCTCGTGCAGCTTTTAAAGGCTTGGCATATAAGCGATACAAGTAAGTTGACTCCAAGTTGGGTTTGTATAGAAGATTTATTTGTGTGCAAATTTTTATCATTATTTGGAAACTATCATGTATGAGAGTTTCTTTACTAATGGATGCCTTGTAACAATTGCTATGAACTTATACAATCTCTCTCCTCAAAAAGAGAACATTCCTTTTGCAAGTTGGAAGTGGATTACCGAATGAGGTTTCATACGTCACTTAATTGACTTAGGGTTTGTTATATTTGATTAAGATCTTTGCATGTTTCTGCTAACATAGCAGGACATTTCTAGAGTATAAGTGTAGACCATATGTTCTTCTTCTTTCTAATACAAAGCTATTCATGCAATGATTAAAGGATGTTCAATCATGCTGACCTCAAAATAAAGACTTTAGAGATATGTACAATGGTTTTGAAGGCAAAGCATACAGAAAAGCTGAAGATGTAAGTTAAACTTGGAGATGGGTGTAAGATTTGGCTGTAGAAAGGCATACATTTATTTCGTCTCCCTGTTTGGCGAGCCTATCAGCCATCCATTTGCCAGCAAAAGAGCGTTGACTGAGTATACCTCTACTATTGCAGCCTGTAATAGAAGATATTGGATAACAAGAGACGATTAATACGTTAGAGATTGGCCATATACATTGTAAGGGAAGCGAGTCAAGTGGCGGATGGAATGGCAAACAGAGGGATTGCTGTGAAAAAAGATCAGCTAGTGGGATAAAACTGACTGAGCTCATAATATTTTTACTTTCATAATAGTACTTTACTTTTTTGTCTTAAGGGATTGTATACAATGAGACCATTTCACAATTATTTACAGTCATCCGATGTGAAATCTGATAGCTTGGGTATGTCACGAAGTTCGAAATTTTTTTTTTTAAGTTTGAGCTTAGTCAATAGAATAAATGCAGCCATCTAATTTCATATCTAATGGTCAAGATTAATTGTGACCACCTTGTACCAAAGATAAATGGTCTCATTGTATACTTTTTCTTTTCTCAACCATATTTGCTGTTCGTTTGTTTTGTTTGGGGTCTAATTACAGTGAAGACCTTAACCTGTCCCAAGCCCCCTGGTAAAGGAGGTGGGTTGCGTTATGTAGGCAGGCAACATAAAAGTTTGCCACATCTTATGATGAATCCTGAACTTGTGTTATAGTTTTGGTCTTATTAGGGTATGACCCTTGATAGATAAGAATGGAGGACCATGATTCATGTAGCCACAGTTAACAACTTCAAAAAAAAAAACAGAAGATTCATGTAGCCGACTTCAAATAATTGGGATAAGACTTGGAGGATGATGATGATGATGATGTTTGCTGTTCTTTTTTCTTTAGAGACTGAAATTTCTTTCTTGGTGTTTCTCCTAAGGATCATCAGTAGCAAATGCTTTGAAATTATGTTGAGAATAGTCAACTGTCATTCCAACTTTCCGTATTTGAGTGATTAAGCTTGACCTGACCTTTGCTCCTCTTTGGCAGAGATCTTCCATTGTATTTGGAATGGGCCCCAGACAACATTTTCAGGTCGATTTCTTCATTGGATACCAAGCCACAACATGATGCTATTGCTGGTACAAAAGATGCTACGACAGTGGTGTTGGAGCAGTCAGCGATAGAAAGTGATGAGGATGTGGATCCCGATAGGGTTGAGGTTTGTCAATATAACCCATTTGCCAAATTATAATATGTCTATGATTTTAGTAAACATATTATCAGTTTTGGGAAGCATTAGCTTGTAGGGTGGAAGGCTAAAAAAAGGCAAGGGTTGGGTTCAAAAGGACCTGGTTGGAAGTAGTGAGAAAAAATGCGGGGACTTGTGGTGTCACTGAGGGTATGGCCCTTAATAGAGCAGAATGGCGGACTAGGATTCATGTAGCTGACCCGAATTAGTTGGGAAAAAGCTCTAATGATGATGATTAGCTTGTGGCGAGTATTATAATATTAGGAACTATGGCCTCAGCTCATTCACATCCCGATGAAATCCCAGAATTGGAGTCATGTCCAGTTTTGGCGTGTCCATTCTCTCTCCGTCATTGTTCCATATTCATCAGACAGTAATGGACATAATGGAACATGAGAGTGTCACAGTCCACCTTTCGGTAGTTATAAACAGTGTTAAGATGTGAGCTTCGCATGAATAGTTTGGGGTTGTAGGAGGGAGGGGTTAACTAAGGATATCGAAATGCTAAAATATCTGAAAAAGCGATAAAGAAGCCCCGCTAAACAAACCATGACGTTTCCTGCTACTTAGCATACTCATGTGGGTTTTAGGTAGCTGGCTGAGAGTCCCTCCATACTTGAGTTACTCTGGCAGGCCCTTTGAGTGATATCACATTATTCCATTGGCCATTAAAGCAAGGGAAAAGTTTATACAGAGCTGAGGCTCTAAACAATCAAATTAGAGCCCATCTAAAAAATTTCACTAGAAGAGATTGTTTTGATGCCCAACTATCCTCAAATTAATCATCTCAACATCAAGATGCATGGACATGAGAAAAAAATGGTTTTCAAGTTTTGGAAATAGTGTATTTTGTAACGCATTTTTGGATCGTCTATTTTCAAGATTTTCAAGTTTTCATAGATCTGGCGATGTACACTATTTTTGAAGCTTTAAAATTTATAAATAAAGATGAAAATATATTTTAAGGCTATCACAAATATTTCCAGTATTGAAACCACATTTCTTGACACTATTTGAAGGTAGGCTTTAATTTGATTGTTTAGAGCGTAGGCTTTATACAAACCGCACCCAGTAAGTAATGACATTATTCCATTATTTATTCTGTTTCTGAAATTTCTATGGCTATTGAATTAATTGCAGTCTAGATCGGTATTTGTTAAGAATCTGAATTTCAAGACCACTGAGGAGTCTTTACGACGGCATTTTCTTGAAAATCTCAAGGGAGGAAGCATCAGAAGTATAAAGGTAAATTTATACAGAATTTTTCTTGAAGCAGATTAGTTCTCTCTTCCAGAAAATGAAATGAATGTGCACACGCACATGAGAGAGAGAGAGACAGAACGACAGAGAGAGAGGGGCAGGCAAATAAATATCCTTGGTTTATGATTTTAATTTACATGTATAGGTCAAGAAGCACGTGAAGAATGGGAAGAATCTTTCCATGGGATTTGGTTTCATTGAATTCGATTCTGTGGAGACAGCAAGAAATACTTGCAAGCAATTACAGGTCCTGCTCTCACCGAGCATTACTCTTCAGGTTTATGTCTTGGCGAAGTGGGCAATCATCCAATGATTATCGTTTCCTAGTCCCTTGACATTGACTGAGAGAGAGAGAGAGAGATAGCGATAGAGACCTTCAAATACATCATGTCCTGTTCTGGTGGAGAGAGAGACCCAAATACATTATATCCTGTTCTGGTGGAGAGAGAGACGCAATACATCATGTCCCTAGAGAAAGAGAAACCCAAATACATCATGTCCTGTTCTGGTGGAGAGAGAGAGACCCAAATACATCATGTCTTGTTCTGGTGGAGAGAGAGACCCACATAGATCATGTCCTGTTCTGGTGGAGAAAGAGAGACCCAATACATCATGTCCCATTCTGGTGGGCCCCACTTTCGCTCGATTACCATCCATCATTTCATGCTATGATCCTGAAAACAATGGATTCTGGTTTTCCTTAGTTCATAGGAGCATGGTATCTTTCATTCAGTATATGTTTTTACCTTTCAGTGGTTATGTTAAAATTAAAATAAATAATCTGTAATTTGTTCATTTTGGTATTGAATTAAATTTCATCCCCCATACTTTTATTGCAGGGAACTGTTCTGGAAGGGCATGCTCTCATTTTGCAGCTTTGTCACTCCAAGAAGAATGCAAGTGATGAGATTGTGCGAAATAAGGTGGAAAAGGAAAAGAGCTCAACAAAGCTAATTGTGAGAAATGTAGCATTTGAGGCTACAAAGAAAGATTTGAAGCAGCTCTTTAGTGCATTCGGGCAGGTACTTGTTCTTTACCCCTTCCTTCTATGGTTCCTGAGTTACTCTAGCTCCAGAGGCTTGCCTACGGTTGCTGTTATTGAATTCACCGAACTTATGCAAAGCATTGTCTGAAGCTCAGTGATTTTCTGAAGATTCACAAGGCTGTCAGTACTCGCCTTGTCTGACAAAATTTGCAGATAACAAAAGGAAGGGCTGGGGGGTTGAGGGAGTGGAAAAACAGCCCTTTTTCTTGTTGTTTTCTCAATCTGACAACCAAGCTCCAATTTTTTCTGAAACTTAGGTTTAAAGGTCATTTCTGCATCCACTAGCTATGGGAAGGTTAGATTGGAGAGAAAAATAATCAAATTTCTCATATTTGTGAATTGTGATTTTTGAACTAAGCTTTGCTTGAAGTTTGAAAGCTTGCAAATTCATTGAATCCACAGAAATTTGTTACCCAAGCCTATTTTTTATTTCTATGGAATCATAGGTTTATTTTCCACAGAGAAGCATTCAAAATCTAGGATTTGAACATCGAAATACTATTTGGCTGAAGATTTCAAGAACTCTGATCAACTAGATCTGAACTTGAAATCCAACAACTAGATTTTTCATTTTTCATTTTGTATATAGTTTTTATAAATTGTTATGTTTTTTATTTTTCCTCTTTTTTTCTTTTATTCACTGATATTGCCATGTGACTGAAGGCCCCATTTATATCAATTCATTTGATTTTCAGATAAAGAGCTTAAGGCTTCCAAAGAAGTTTGATGGGAATCACAGGGGCTTTGCATTTGTTGAGTTTGTAACAAAACAAGAAGCACAGAATGCATTTGATGCCCTCTCAAGTTCTCATCTCTACGGTCGCCATCTGGTAAGGTGTTATTTTACATGAATGTGAATGGAACAAAAGGTCCCCACGATTTCAAGGCATGCTTCTTTCAAAGTTAATATCGTTCACTGTTGCATGCACGCATGTGGGTGAGTGTGTGTGTGTGAGAGAGAGAGAACAGGACAGGACAGGATGGTGTTCCAGGCAGGACAGGTTACCGGGCAATTTAGTGATTCTGGTTCTAACTTTATTGTGTTCCATAGGTTCTGGAGCGAGCAAAGGAGGGAGAGACCTTGGAAGAGCTCCGGGCTCGAACTGCTTCTCATTTTGTGGATGAGCAAAGCGGTTTTCAAAACCCTTCAAAACTATCAAAGAAAAGGAAACGCTTCTCAGTTGTTGACGAAGGGTCCGTAAAATTTGAGAGAATTACAGGGTAGTACGCCTACAAATAGTTTTGTAGTTCAGTCATTTTGGTTTCTAATTTTTATTTGTTTTTTTTTACATAAATTATGTTTTAAAATTTTCCATCCCTGCTTTAGACTTTAGCCTGATAATCATTGTCAAAGTTTTTTCCCAATTAATTGGGGTCGGCAACTTCTATGCTGATGTGTTCATAAAAAGTGAAAATGCATCGAGTTGTTTCCATAACTTTGTACAGTTTGAGCGGTTGCAAGATTGGGATCTTTTGAAATTTTGAGTGCTACATTATAGTAATTTTTTTGGTCGTGATAGAAAGGATGTTGTGTCGAAATTGTCCTAGACATTCCTACATGCCATCCTCTGCACCTTCTTTTACTTGCCTTGGATCCTTTCTCGGATTTTCTTAGTTCGCCTATTTTTTGAGAGCTTTGAAGTTTTTTTATGAAATAAACTTAAATAGTAATATGTTTCCTTATAGTCAATAATGGAGGGATTTTCTACATATAGTAAGTTTAGAATTCAAGACGTCGTGATCTGACACTCCACCACATTAACCATCTAGTCTTGAGCATATTCCTATAAAGCCGTAGTTTAGAGTAATACATCGTTGTTCAATTATATTATATTCTGTTTGCAAGAGACCTTGAGGTTGGGAGTCATCGTCAAAGTTTTTTCTCCAATTACTTGGGTCGGCTATCCAAATCATGGTTTGTTATTTTGCTCTATTAAGTGTCATACTTTCAATGAGGTTATGAGGTCATAAGTTTCTATATGTTTTTTTACTACTTCAATGGTCTTTTGGGTTGAGCTTGTGCTGCATTATCAGTCTATTTGAGTTTACTATCTCTCATTTTATCATTCAGTGGTCCCACACTAATTTTCTTTTAATATATTCATTTGAATTTTATACCTTCTTGTCTTGTCACGCTTCCATCTAAACATCTTCATCTCCGTTACATTCATTCTATAGGTATGTTATTTTATCACTCAATATTCTATCTCATAGAGCACAGTTGGTTTAACAATTGTCTTATAAAAAGTTTCTTTGAAGCTCTATTAGTTGCAGCGATCACATAAAATTTTAGTTGTATCTTTTTACTTTGTCCACTCAGTTCTAATTTTATGTACATCTTTTTCAATCTTTCCATTTTTTTGGATTATTGGTCAAGATATTGAAAGTGCATTTTTTTTGTATTTGCTGACCGTCAATCTTAGCTACTTCGTCATCTCTATTCCTATTATTATTAAACTTGTATTTTATATATTTTGTCTTAATCTAGTTAATTTTAAAATCTTTAAACCTTGAAGTATGGAAGACTAAGATTATGAAAGGCTAAGGATTAAGAAATCCAATTTGAAGAGAAGAAAAATGAGAGCTCATGGAGAGATCGGTGACATGGGAGAATGCTAGTAAAGTTTTTACAAATACAAATACATACCATAATGTTAAATGAGAGACAGAGAGGTTCGTGAGTAATTGGAAAATAGAGAATTTAAGAGAGAGAAAGATGTCCGAAACTGTCAAATTTTATATGTTTTTGAAATGAATGTAATCGTAATATAATCTTTGCAGAAGGTGCAGTTTGTAAGGTGTAAATTAACTAATCAAAATACACTTCCAAACTATGCAGAAAAATACATATTTGGTGCCGAAGAGCTTGTGAACTCTTAGAGAGAAAAAAAAATGACATAAACCAAGTATATTTATAAATACTTGAAAATAGATAATCCTTGATAAATGATAAATGCGTTGTAAGGCGCACTGTTTTCATTATTTGACTTTTTTTTTCTTTTTTCTTTTTTTTTTTTTAAAAATTCATTTCAAGATCGAAATGAAATGGATGGTGTTATAGCATCAAAACACCCTTTTTTTTTTTTCCCTTGATTTTAAAGGCGTCATACTTCCTTTATATGTAGTCATGCCTTTTTTAAAACTGTTTTTTTTTTTTTGGGTAATTCAGGAGAAGACAGGCCCTTGAAATTAAGCAACGCCTAAAAGGAATTAAATTTTGAAACTCAATACCAATAAGAAATAAAATTTAAACAATTTTCAAATTAAGCAACGTCTAAAACGAATTAATTTTTTCGAATTCATAAGATCTCAAATTATTAAAATCCATAAGACCTTTAACAATTTGAGCACAAAAATTTTGTAAAATAGAGGTCATTATCGTCAAAGCTTTTTTCCCACTAATCAAAATCGACTATACGAATCATGATTTATAACAAACCAAACCATACCCTAAGTGAAATTATAAACCCCCGTATCTTTTCTCACTATTTTCATATCCTTTTGGACTTGTCGCTACTCTTTTTCAACTTTTTACTTGAACGAACTTACACCACTTAAAATAAGACTTATCGCTGCTATTTTTCAACCTTTCACTTGAACTAACTTACACCACTTAAATAAGTGTTTTGAGTACACAACCAGCCCACCTAAATTTTACACTCTTATTGCCTACCGGAGCCACTTAAATTTTCCTAAAAAATTTTCTCAAATACAAATACATCTAATGGAAATACCTGCCTTCACCGATGTTTCCTAGTGGATTCAAGATTTGATGGGGAAAAGATTCATATTAGTTATAACCTTTTTATTTTCCTAGTGGATTCAAGATTTGATGGGGAAAAGATTCATATTAGTTATAACCTTTTTAAGTAAACAGTAGCCCAAAAACCCATGAGCAAACCCTCCACTTAAAAAGGACTTAAAATTACTGAATGATTATCCTCTGGGTATAAATCGGATGTAAATTCTTGGAAGATAATCATTCAACGATTCTTGAATTTCTTTACCCGAGTTTTGAAATCTTCTTTCAAATTTCGTAACGGAATCATTCAATGACTCCTGGATTTCTTTTAATTAAAATCTAGGTTGGAGTTGTTTACTTTCGATTTTTACCCGAAAGCAACGACTATAATCCCACAAGTATATTCCAACATGAGCATGATATCTATAGCTATTGCTAAAGCACTTTCATGATTCATTCTCAAAAGTAGTCTTAACACGTTTTGTTTTTCTAAATCTCCTTTTTTAACTCTTAAAAGACGATATAAAATGAACATTTACTACTAATACAACGAAATCACAACCAATATTGTCCATGTAGACAATATCTTAAAAAAAACCATTTACTTTTTGTACAAAAAGACTCAATTATTCATGTTCTTTAGATTTCAATTATTCATGTTCTTTAGATTTCATGCCCAACAAAGTTTTTGAAGACATACTTTATAATCATCATTAAATCATCCTATTTGACATCTAATGGCTAATGACTTAATCATAAAATCATCCTATTTGGCATCCAATGGCTAACGATGGCATCCAATGGCTAACGACTAAAAGTGATCGTGACCTCCATAGCCTCACAATTTACAATCTCTTTTTTTTTTTTTTCACATATCTTGAGAAAGGAAAACAGAAGAGTAGGATTGAAAACAAGGCAACTCCATGCATCAATAACACGCGAAGCAATAAATACTTCCAAAGCCCCATAAAAAAACCACACAGCAGGTAGCTTCACATTGGAAATACAAAACATACGCATTAACATCAAACTGAAAACCATTCATCATCACACAACAACAAACAAGTCCAAACTCCACTGTCAAATTCAGTTTTCCTGGATCCTCCTCTCACCCACCACCTCCTCTAGACCACTTCTCATTGTGCCTGCAAAGACAACATCACCAAAACAATGAAATAGGCACAAGTAGGGCAGTTTGCTCACGACCTTAACCCAGACCCAAGCATGGCTTCGGACCCCAACCTGACCAGTTGGTCTGGGTCTGGGTCTGGCATCAGGCTCAGACCAGGATATGCAAAGTCAATACAATCCAAACCAAAAACGGTCTAAGACCGGACCACCCCGGTCAAGTCTTGAGTCGATCCAATCCAAACCAAAAATGTTTTGGACAGAACCACCCCGGTCAAGTCTTGAGTCGGCTTGAACCTGATTGCATGGACCCACTCCCCTTTCAAAAGATCACAAATGGGATTAACACATATTTACTCATAAATCAGCTCAAATGAACTGCATAAAAATCACCCTCATAAATCAGCTCAAATCCACTAATGGAACTCCGTAAAATCACCCTCAGCCTCAATGAAGATGATTAGGACCTCTTTCCCATGACAAATACCTAGTAATGGGCCATATAGAGGATCACATCGATGAAAAGACAAAACCCCAAAAGTACCATAACACTCCTAATATTTCAACTATTTACACAAACAAAAAACACAACTCATCAACTTGTAACGGTTAATCATCAGCAACTCATTGTATATCAATTATTTAATTCACTAAATCATCAAAACATGCCAAAATTATCAACTATTCTAAGTTTCTAACTCAGCCTTCTTCAGATGGGATTTCGGGAATTAAAAAAAAAGTTTGTGAGATGTTATTCATCTGTCATCTTTTTTGATAAATTCCTCCAAAAAAGAAAATTGGAGCTCAACTAGTTTCAAAACTATGGCCTCAATCCACAGTTGCAAAATGCAAAATTCCTAACTGCACAGAAAAAATAAAATAAAAACAAAACGGATAACAAAGATAGAAAATGCGGTTACATACCTTGATCATTATGTCATGAGAAACAGGCATTGCGACGTCAGATCCTGTTGCTTCTTTCAGAGATTTCATTCGGACGTCAAATCCTGTTGCTTCCTTCAGAGATTTCGTTCCGACATCAGATTCTGTTGTTTCCTTGGAAGATTTCATGTCTCTACTCCCAAACAACGAAGTAACCGCCCCTTTAACCTTCCCTACCATCCCACTCCCCCTGTTATCTCCACTGTTACCTGATACCGTTACATTTCGTCCACTCCCATCCCCCTTATGTATGACTTCCGTTATAACCTCAGATAACGCCCTATCCTCGTCTCCTGGCTTGAGCTTCTCCATAACGTAATCCTTTATCGAAACCCCCTTATCAGTGCCCTTCTCTCTCTTATCCGACTCTGCGGAAAGATTCTCAGACTCACCTAAGGACTTCTCAGACACGCCTGGTAATTTTTGTGGCAAACATCCATTCTTTGCCCCTGTTATTTTCTCCTTTACTGTACCCGTAACTGATCGATTGCCAGATTCAGACATCGTGACATCCGATTCTGGCGTGGTAGCCTCGGACTCCGATGGGTTTTGGGCGTAACCGAGCTTGGATGCGAGAAGGTTCTTTGCTGATGTGGCCTTGTCATAGATTAGAGAAGTGTAGCTTTGGGGTTGGGGATGGGCTGCTTGGTCATTTCGACTTTGTTCCGTAACCGTGTTATCGGGCTCGGGATTTGGTTTGGTGGTGGTGTTAGAAGGTCTGGTACGCTTGGGATTTTCTGGGGCAAACTGGTTGTGAGTACCTGACGATACTTCCTGACGACGTTTCGAGTCTGTACCATCACTGAGTTTCATCGCTGAAAGTGACTCTAGAACAGTCGTCCCACCAATTTCCTCACCACCTGTAATACAGGACAGGATCAGTAAAAAATCGCAAAGCTGAATTGATGACAGTTCAATCATGATCATAACTAATTTCTATATATGAAAATTAGAAAATTTAAGTGCTCGGCTAAGGTAATTAGGCAATTACTCAGGTAATCTCTGATAAATAATAAAACACCAAATTCACACTAGTGCAATGTCCAACTCAAAAGTAGAGACTTGAGCATTTTCTCATCAAACCAAGGATAATTTTTTTGTTCTTCACATTTTTGTTCTTTGTATTTTGCCTTTTTTTACACCATTTAGACTAAGTTCCAGAAATCGGCAAGCTGATTAGGGAATCGGCCAGCATATTCAGATAGGTGAGTGCACGTGTGAACATCCTACCCCCTGTTACTTCGAACTTTTAAACCCTCTTTTCTACTTTTAAACACTCATGAGAATGACTAAGAAGCACAAAAATATTATGTTCTTTTTTAACTTATGAACACCGGTGAAAATGACCAAGTAAAAAGATATCATGATCCAAGACCCAGCTTGCCCAAGTTTTTTAAGAAGATGCATCATGCAGTCAATACCCTATTGTAGAATTAGAGTAGAAGTGTTCAAGTGGGTGCTTTCTGTTTTATTTATTTATTAGTGTGTGTGTGTGTTACATACCTGCATTTGTCGGATCCTTGACTTTGGATTGATAATTTCCACTTGAAACCTTTCCGGGGCCATCCTTTGGAGCATCTGGGTCCTCAAGGAACGGTCCAGATTCTCCTAGTGAGACACCCGGTTCCTTACTAAATGGCTGCGATTCACCGTAATGAACCCCAGATTGCCCTTGAGTCTCCATTGGTATCCTGCTCACATCGCCTTGCTGATTTTGACTAATAGCAGCCGATTCATACACTGCAATTTCAAGAAGAAAATACCAAGTTCATAATAAAAACAAATGATGAAGGATATGCAAAATATATTTGCTAAGTGTACATCAATTATTCTCAAAAACCAAGGGATGGAACCTTTGAATTTGTCTACATATATAGGGAAGTTGGACATAGAGAGGGAGAGCTATAAACTTAGAGGTCAAAACTTCACTAAATTGAAGGAATGATATTGCTTATAAATCTTAGAGAACCTAGCTCTTATAAATCTAATTGAGAAAAAAAGTAGGGCGTAAATAGATCAAATAAAAAGAATAAAAAATATTATGAAATAAAGAAAATATCAAAATACTCCTGAAATATTAGAGGCATTTAGTCATTGTTTTTGTCCCTAATACTTCTTTATTATATTTTGGTGCATCCTATTAATCTATGTGATTCTTTAGTAATCGGGCTTGGGCGTAAGTTGATTGGTAGTTGACATTAGTGACACCACTATCCCAAATTCAGTTCTTACCACCGGACTATCCAGAAGAAAATTCCCTAATTGAAGATATTTTTTATATAAAAATAAAAAATAAAACTAAATATAATTCCTGGGCATGTGATCGACCCTAGTTCACTCTTGCAACAGGACTATCCAAAAAGAAAATTCCCAAACAAATAAAATTATTCAAAAAATAAATCATAAAACAATTAATTTTTTGGGCAATCCGTAACAACGGGATACTTTCCCTAAAGTGAATACATATGTGGTAAAAATATGAACTACACCATGGTAAAATCCCTGGCAAAATTTAAGTAACACTCAAAAAGCAATAACAGATACAAGCCATAGAGTATTCTTCATAAAACGGGTCAACATGGACAATATTGGTAAGGAAAAGTATAAAATGAGACCATTTCCCCTTTGTACAAAGTTACATTTATTCCATTGACCAAGCACAAAGTTCAAAAGAAATTTTCTTGACACACTCGAGGTATCAAATTCCACATCAAATGGTCATAAGCAATTGTTCAGATGGTCATAAGCAATTGTGACATTCTTGTATAAGTACAATAGGTAAATGGTCTCATTGCATACAATCCTTATTTCAACCATCCCATAAAGATCTGATGACGTGTCTATAGCATTTTCAATTTAACGGGCATATATCGCACAGTCAAAGAATGCTTGTAACATTTCTGATTTAACTAAGCTTGGGAAATAGTAATTCTTCACAGAATGGCTGACTTTCTTAACCATATGTAACTATTTGGTCTCGTGCGTGTATGTGTGAGAGAGAGATACATCAAGATACATATTGAGATTTTTACAAGTCAACAAATTGTAAAAGGAAAAATCACAAAAGAACACTTACCAGGTGCTCCATGAATCTCAGGGTCATCCTCAATTTCATCTCCTTCCTCTACTTCCTCCTCCCCTTCATGGTTGTGTTTCTTTATGCCAAGAGTGTTCTGTAATTTCTTAGCCTTGTCCTTAACCTTCTTCAATACTGATTTCTTGTCATGTGACTCTTCTTCCCCATCATGACCCACGATGGGTCCTGATGGCGAAGGCCATGCACTTATCTCCTGACCATGTCCTTTGAAGCCCAAAAAAGAAAAAAAAAAATTGCTTCAAGATATCGAAAAAAAACCTGACCATGTCCTTTGAAGCCCAAAAAAGAAAAAAAAAAATTGCTTCAAGATATCGAAAAAAAAAGAACGAGATATCAAGATCTACATAGGACATTGCAGTGTTTCCAAAATCGGTCGAACTGGCTAGAATCACCCACCCAAATCCAAAAATTGTCGGTTTGAACAAATGGGGAAGCTGGTGATTCCAGGCCAAAAAAACCCAAATTAGCCAGAATCACCCTGATTCCCCTGTTTCCCGATAGAATCAGAATTTTTTGATAAATACAGCTCAGTTGACACCAACATGCCCAAATCCAACTTAGGGAACTCAGGATTAAACCCTTGCCTGAGTCAGAGACCTATACCAGTTTTCGAAACACTGGGGCATTGGACTCTTTTAACCCAAATGACCAAACTTACATAAGTAATATTGTACCATAAATAAATAGTATATGATATTTACTGCATAACAGCCCATTTGATGATGCACCTCTAAGAAGCGAACCTTGATTTTAAACAAATTTTTTATATTACCTTTAATGCCTTAAAATACCCCATAATTTATTCTACAATCTACAGACAGTGGGATATACCAACAAAAATCATTTCTATAGAATAAATCTTGATTTAAAATGCAAATAATCAAGGAGCAAGAAAAATCAAAACTAAATTTTTTTCCCAGGGAGCTCTCATTTGGCTTACCATCAAACGATTAAGATGTAAAATGGTGGTCCTCAATAATTAAAAAAAAAAAAAGGGTGTATAAAATTTCTTCAAAATATTACCAAATTTGGTTTTTAAAATTTATTTTCCTTTACATATTAATGATCATATCTTCCATTAACTTGACTATAACTTCCCTACTCTCTCTCTCGATAAGGAGGTCTTTCATTAACTTCTTTTTTTTTTTTGAACTTAAGATCTTCCATTAACTTGACTATAACTTCCCTACTCTCATTAACTTGACTATAACTTCTCTACTCTCTCTCTCCATAGGGCTATCTTCCATTAACTTGACTATAATTCCTTACACTCTCTACACCCATGGAAAAAAAAACAATAAAAAGTTGTATAACAAAATAAAGCATAATTTTCCTACCACTTTGAAGCCCTACGGCTCCAGGATTCTCCACATAGTGCAATCCATCCACAGGCGCCATCTGACTCTCCATCTCTCTCTACCAGTCACACTGAAAACTTCGCGAAATCTTCAAAATTCTGCTCTCCCTGAATTTCGCCACACCCTGAAATACAACTTTCTCACCCCGTTTAACGCCTGAAAATTTCGGCGAATTTCGTGTCCCCTCCCGCAATGAACACGAAGAGGAAAGGAGAGAGAAGTATTTAAGAGTGAGAAAGAAGAGAACGAAGGACACCGCCACCTTTGCAAAATCTCGCCCTCAAATAAGGCGACACGTTCATGGCTCTCGTGTCGCCTTTGATACACGTAGCATGCAATACTCTGTTCTTACACGTGTTTGATTTTCATTTTCGATACATAGGCCACCTAATGTGGAGTACGATGCCAAAAGATTACATGCTCCACTCTGATAACTCAAGTTTGTTGTTATCGAGAAGTTTATTTACCCTAAAAAAACCTGAACCTGCAAGTTTTTTCTCCCTGTCTGACAAGTTGTTATCGAGAAGTTTACTTACCCAAAAAAACGAGAAGTGGAAGTCTTTTCTCCGTGTGAAACTCGATGTACTTGTACGAAAATATGGTGTTGGGTAACATGCCTGATATTTAAGGGGACCCAGAAAATTCTTCAAAATTTATGAAAAAATTACCAATTATGCATGCTTTTAAAATTTATCAATTAAAAAAAATAGAAATGATTAAGATATATTTTTAAAATAATTATACATACTATTGTAATAATTAATAAATACAACAACAACAAACGTTTTTTATAAATATCATTCTACATGGGTGTGGTTTCTATAAGGTTGCAACCTTAAACAATCCAATTAAGATGCACATCCAAATTTTATCATAACATGCAATTTTGGTAAAATTATTCTTAGGAATATCTTAAAATCTATTTTCATATGTAATTATAAGATTTTAAACTCCAAAAATGGTTAAAATCAAGTAGATCTATAAATATATGAAATCTTGAAAATGGACGGTCCAGATAATATATTGCAAGATGCACTATTTTTGGGACTCAAAATAGTTTGTTTTTTCATATATATATTCATATATCTCGATGTCGAGATGATCAGTTAGAGGTTATTTCAACATTAAAACAACCTTCTCCAATGGATTTTTGAGGTGCATATGTAATTCTACATTTTAAGGTTGCAACCTTATATAAACTTTTTCCTTCTACAAGACAATGAAATGAAATTATATCATCAAAAAAATTTGAGACAAATAATATAGATTAAAAAAATCAAAATCCCTAACAAAGTTTCACATTATAAAATCAAAAAATATATTTTCAAATAAGTGAGCATTCTTTTTCCTAAAAAGGACAACTGAACCAAGAAAAATCAAGATATTTATAAAACAAAAGAAAAAAATATCATTCTAAATTGTTTTTGCCAATTTTGAATAATATTTCTAAAAAATGACTTCTTTTTTTTGGGAAAACCCAAAATCCAATTAGCTTTGGGCCTAGATCTATACAATAATCGGTTTGTATCCATCGAATTGGATCGGCAACAATTTAAAGTGATAAATGAAGATTGTTGTGTGCGGAAGCTCTAAACCCGATGGGTTAATATTTGTCAAATAAATTATGAGAAATAAAGCATGAAACACATACAACAAGAACACAAAGATTTACGTGATTCACCCTAAAAAGGCTACATTCACCGGCACGACAAACAGAAATCCACTATACGAATGAAAGTTACATCAAAGATTTTGGAACAAATATCGATAAAAACACAGTCGAACAAACCATTTTAAACCACTCTCCTTGCATTCTCTTTACTTCTGGTAATCATTACCGACAACACCAGATAGAGACGCTAAAGCAACGAAAAACTGATTTTCTCTCTGACCAAAAGGGAAATAACCCAAAATATCCATAGGAACCACTTCTCTATAAGAAACAATTCTCTCAACCTTTGAGAGTCTAAAAGAGGCACCATCACAATGTTTCTGTCTAAAGGAAACTCTTTTCTCTCTAAGAGGAAACCTTGCATCTTATGCACTGGAGCCCTTGCCCCCCTCTCTCTAGATGAACCATCATTCCCATATGGTGACTCAAATAGGGTACACAAATTCTCTGCACTTTCATCCTATATATATAGAAGATTAGGTATCCATACTAAATAGGAAAGTTTCTATTGATGTTAAATATATCTCAAAAGATCAAGAGATACTTGGATTTCTATTTCCTTCAGGAAACTTATCAATATCAATCTTAATCCCACATAATATGGATCAATCTCAATCTCATTTAGTATGGATCAATCTCAATCCCACATAATATGGGATTTTCTTATGTGAGTGATTTTGGATAGCACCAAATCCAATAATCTACATATTGATATTAAAATCACCTGCTCCCCAGGCCAACATCCATTGTCATCAAACTTGTTATCTCTATCAAACATCAAGCCCACATCTGATGTACCTTTTAGGTAACGCAGAATCCATTTTACCGCATGCCAATGCTTCTTTTCTGAATTAGTCATATATTTACTAACAACACTAATAACATAAGAAATATCTGGACGAGTGCAAACCATTGAATACATAAGGCTTCCAACTGCACTCACATAGGAAACATGTGACATGTATTCCTTTTCAGCATCTGAACTTGGAAATAATGATGTCGACAATCTGAAATATGTAGCAAGAGGAGTACACATGGGCTTTGAATTTTCCATCCCAAATCTAGCAATGACCTTCTCATTGTACTTCTTCTGAGATAGTCACAATTTACCCGACTTTCGATCTCTACGTATCTCCATGCCCAAAATTTTCCTTGCTAAACCTAAATATTTCATTTCAAATTCTCTGACAAGCCGAGTCTTCAATTTATTAATTTTTAAAGAATTCTTTGCAGCAATAAGCATATCATCTGAATAAAGCAATAAATAAATGCACGAATCATCAGTAAATCTCTTAAAATAGACACAATTATCATGTTTACTTATGACATACACGTGTCCAATCATGAATGTATCAAAACGTTGTACTACTGCCTAGGATACTGCTTTAGGCCGTACAATGAATACTTCAATTTGTAAACATGGTCCTCATTTCCTTTAACAACAAAACCTTCCAGCTGAGTCATATAAATATGTTATTATAACTCTCCATGAAGGAATGCAGTATTGACATCAATTTGCTCTAACTCTAAATCAAACAATGCAACCATGGCTAGTAAACCCGAATAGAAGTGTGTTTCACAACTAAAGAGAAAACCTCAACATAGTCAACACCTTCTTTTTGTGCATAGTCTTTTATAACTAAACGTGCCTTAAATCGATCACCACTAGTCTCAGGTGACTAATCTTTCTTCTTATAAACTCATTTAAAACCAATAGCTCTCTTGCCTTTAGGCAACTTCACGATATCCCAAGTACGATTTTTTTGAAGAGATAATATTTCTTCATCCACGGTTTCACTCCACCTACTACTGTCACTATCTTGTGTAGCTTCCTTAAGAGTAGATGGATCTTGGCTTGTGGCAGCCAATGCATAAGCCACCATGTCCTCAAAACTATATCGCACGACTGGCTTTTTTATCTTTTTTCCCTTTCCAAACTGACGCTCTTCCTCAAATGGAGTAGACTCAATGACTTCCTCATGGTCAACATCTTCCTCTACTTACTCGCACGAAATTTCTAGCACATAATTTGGAGTTGTCAACGCCACCTCAACTGCATTGCTACTACTGCAAGTTTACGTTTCTGTATTATTCTGAATGTGCTTTAACATGGCAGACTCATCAAATTTAACATCACAACTACCAATAAACTTAGGCGATTTAAGATTTGGGCACCACATTCTATAGTCCTTAACCCCATATGCATAACTAAGGAAATTATACTTATTTGATCTTTTACTCAACTTATCATCTTTCACATGAACACAAGCAGGACAACAAAAATTTTTAAATGAGAATACGCAACAAGTTTACAGGACGATACCTCGTGTGGTGTTTCGCAAGCGATTGTTGTAGATGGTAACCTGTTGACGAAGTAACACACTGTATTGACTGCCTCAGCCCAAAAGTCATTTGACAAACCAGCATTACTCCACATGATGCGAGCCTTCTCTAGAAGTGTCATGTTCATGCGCTCAGCAACTCCACTCTGTTGCGGTGTCTTCGGAGTGGTGAAGTGAAGAACAATTCCTTCGCTCTTGTAAAAATTCACAAGCTCTGTTGAAGTGTACTCTCCACCATTATCAGTCCTCAAGCACTTGATCTTCTTTCTAGTCTGTCTTTCAACTATAACTTTTCACTGTTTGAATGTGTTAAATATATCTGTCTTTTTTTTCAATGTGTTAATCCACACCTTCTTAGAGAAATCATTTGTGTAGGAAACAAAGTATAGAGATTCGCCTTTTTAGACAACCGATGCAGGGAACCAAACATCTGAATGAAAATAGTCAAGAATACCTTTTATAGTATGTTCTGACGTGCGAAACTGCACCCTACACTGATTTCATTGTTCAAACTCAATGTAGAAATCATCAATGGATTTTCAATAAGCATAATATTATATGAAATCCGAGCAAAACTTCAAAGTAAATAATATAAATAAAAAATTATTAAATACCCAGTGCAAATAAATCAGGCTCCTTGTAGATGGAAACCCCCATTGACTTTGTAAAATACACAAAAGAAATTTATATTTGGCAGATTTCAGAAATGCATGGAAAAACTAAATCTTTTCAAGTTAGATCCACAAAAAAAGGGTAATAATCAGTCAAATTGAGCCAATAATATTGTAAGAGGCTCGATTAAGATCATTTAGAGACAAATTTGAGGAAATTTGGTTAAAAAATGAAGGAGAATGATGCACTTTGGCGGATTTCTAAAAAAATCGCAAAAAAACTCAATTTCCATGTTGAGAATTGATGCCTTGTATTCTGAAGAAACAGATACGTCAAGGTAGAGTCAAAAGGACAACTCAGGAGGGTATACATGGGATTCGATATATCTGAGACTTAATATATATCCGTACATGGGTATTTCGATAGTTTGTATCATCTATTTGGGACTCGATATATATTGTTACGATTGGCGGTTCATCTAGGATTAAGAGAAAAATGCAGATTGTTTTGTAACCAGAGAGAACAGAGAGGCGTGAGGAAGATATCTATTGTAACACTATTCTCCATTGCCAGTAAAGAAGCCCTCATCTCTCATGGACATAGATACGTT